GCATCTAATGAGTGTGATAGAAGACAGACAAGTGGAGGAGTTTCTGTCTTCCTCTTCACCCCAGTCATTTCTCCTTTTTCATGTTCTTACCAGGAACCAAGGTGTTTGTGATGCCCAACGGGATGCTAAAAAGCAACCAGCAGCTGGTGGACATTATTGAGAAAGTGAAACCTGAGATCCGGCTGCTGATTGAGAAATGCAATACGGTGAGACAGGCTAGTGACCTATGCATTGGCCCCCCAGTAGTCCCTCTTATATGACGAAGTATGATGTCTAGGGAGCAGGAGGCCTGTAGACAGTGTTTGGGGCTGGCAGATTAGGTCTTGACTCCTGTGCCCTTAGCAACTGCTCTCAGTAGCCTGACTCATGCACTTCAGGGATTAAGCAGAAAAGTTTTAAGATTCTCATGTGTGTGTTTTGGTCCCCTCACTGTCCAGGTCAAAATGTGGGTACAACTTCTGATTCCCAGGATAGAAGATGGGAACAACTTTGGGGTATCCATTCAGGTAATATACTTGCTTGTGGTAAACTGGGAGGAAAGATTTGGGAGGAACTTCTGTCTACCTGCTCCGTCTGTGGCTTCTGCAAGGTGATTTGTGGAACTGACTTTCAACTTAACCTGTTTCGGTTTTTTTCCTTTTAGGAAGAGACAGTTGCAGAACTAAGGACTGTGGAAAGTGAAGCTGCCTCTTATCTGGATCAGATTTCTAGGTAGGTTTGCTTAGACTTGACTCAGGAAGTGGGAATTTTGAGGTATAAGAGACTATCCAAGGTCTCCTACAGCTTCCTTTTTTCTCTCTTCCAGATATTATATTACAAGAGCCAAATTGGTTTCTAAAATAGCTAAATATCCCCATGTGGTAAGTAAGGGTTTTGTGGCTTGAGGGTAGAAGTGGTTGGACTGGGAAGACTGATGGGAAAGGGCTGCCTGTGGCCTTGGGAACAAGCCTTTTCCTCTGTCCCTGCTTTCAGGAGGACTATCGTCGCACTGTCACAGAGATTGATGAGAAAGAATACATCAGTCTTCGGCTCATCATATCAGAGCTAAGGAATCAATATGTGAGTAACCTGGGTTTCTGCCTGCAGTTGTCCTGGTTTCTCTTAATTCTGATGATAGTTTTTTTGCCCTTCTCTGGAGGTTAACCTGAGAGAGAGATAAAAATAAAGAGAAAAGATTTTGAGTATTGAGAAGCGTGAAATCATCAGGGCTGCCTAGCTGGTCATACTTTTTTTGCTTAAGTTGAGGAGGAGATGTTGGAGAGAATACATTAATAGTGGTTAAGAGATGAGTATTATAGACAGACAGTCAGCTCATAATGTGTGACTTTAAGCAAGTTGTTTATCATCTCAGACTTCACCTTAAGATGATACTTCAAAAACAAACAAACAAACAAAAAAGATGATACTTCATTGATTTCACAAGGATAGTTTTAGAATCGAAGTTAGATACTAAGTTAAAGGAGTGGCATGATTCTTCATACCAATTAAGTGCTCTGTAAATGTTAGTTGTTACTGGATGCTTAGAGTCTTGGAAATTAGATGAAGGCTCTAGAACCAGTGTTAGGGTGTAGACAAGGTAGGGCACCTACCCTGAGTGAAGTTTCCAGGTGAGTGAAATTGAGATTATGTCTGGGGGGGGGGGCTCTTTGTGTGTGTCTTTTTTTAAAAAAATTTCATTATTTTCTCTGTGTGTGTACTGTCAAATTGGATCTGACTGGTACAGGAGGAGATGGCCCCTCCTTCTCTGGCAGAGCATCTGGTGGATTCGAACCACATATCTCTGGGATTGCAGTGTACCTTCTTGCCACTAGGCCACCAGAGCTCCCCTAATTAATAATTTTAATGAACATTTACAGAGATTTGTGTGTGTTTTTTATGAATTGGGTATGCTACAGATGTCTGATGCCTTGATCTTACTTCTCCCAGGTCACTCTACATGACATGATACTGAAAAATATTGAGAAGATCAAACGGCCCCGTAGCAGCAACGCAGAGACACTGTACTGAGGCCAGGGCCAGGGCCAGGGGACTCTGTGAGTCTGGCTCAAGACCGACATTGCCTTGGTTTGTTACATGACTATCGTGATGGGGAAACTGGCTGGAAATCGTAATCACACCGCTCTCTGTTTTTAGTTAGAGTCTAATGAAACTCTCATCTAGTTCTGTGATGTGTTTACCTCTTTTTTCAGGCCTCAGGAACTCTTCTACTTCCCTCTCTAATGCCCCCATCTGACCTACCTGCCCTCATTTCTGGAGAAGCGCTGCTTTGTGTGTGCAGGATCTGGGCATGGATAGACTTGTGCTTTCTTTTTCCCTCCTTTTTCCCTCATGTGTCTTAGCCTTTGTTTTCATCTTTCTGATGGTTAGTTGATGAGAAGCTAAGAGACCTGGAAGGGAAGTGCTAGGTGTTTTTATAGGAACTGGGTTAGGGGAATGGCTCCTCTCTTCCTGACGTAGTTAGTGTCTCTTGCTTCTGTGAGACATTGATTCTGCCTGGCCACAACCAGTAACTTAAGGTTTCCCATTTATATACATCCCATCTTGAGCTGGGTCACAAGGAACACCTTAGACCTTCAGCCAAGTCCTTTGCTTCTTGAGATGTTTTTAAATGAGGTTTTCACATACACATAGTATACATGTGTACACACACAGCACACCTTCTTCTACCATTACCTCCCCTGCCCTCCCAATCCTGACACATACCTTTCAGAAGGAGGTGATAGTTTTTGCAGTCATCATACACCCAGACAAAAGCCCTGGACCCATCTTTCCTGATATTATAGCCTACAGGGGCTCAGAATCAGTGGAGAACTGAGAAGATGAGAAGCAGAGGGAATGGGGAAGGTTCCCTTCTTTCTCTGTGACTCAGGTCTTTTTCACTGTTACTGCAAAGGCTGACTTCTGATTCCTTGGGGCCTCTTCACAGATCAGTTGTAAATTGGGGTTGGTGGCATCCTGCAACTGTGAGGTCTTAATGCTGCTGTTCCTGCTGGTCTTTGCCCTTTGGGAACTATTCCCTTTATTTATAGTATTATGCTTCCAGGGAGAGTAGGTAGGGGTATTTGTGTTTGTGTGTGTGCACACACTTGGACGTGTATATGGACATGTACACGCACATGTTTGTGTGCGTGTGAATATCTGCTGGATAAAGCTAACCATAGAAGAGTTGCCTCCCGCCTCTGGAATTCCCCCAGAGGTAGCATTTATTGTTACAGCTTTTGTTGTCACCCTGTATCAGACCCCAGCTTTGTTACTCTACCCTACTGGAGAGTTGATTCCACAGTCAGTCTGCCAGTGATTTTCTCAGTGTCTAGTCCCTACTTTCATTCTTCCCTCTCTGTCTTCCAAGCCCTAGTCGTATTTCTACGATAGGGATGTATCGCTTTTACTCACAGTATGCTCTAGAGAAGGAGTCAGAATGTTGTCTTCCCGTGAGTAGTACTCAGTAACAAACCATTGCATTTTAGATGGGCAGTGCCCCTATCCACCCTCCAGATCCCTTCTATCCTAAAGCCCTTTCCTCCTCCTGCCATGTGTTTCTCAGTTTCCTTTTTTGTTTGTTGAATTGTTTCTCCATCCTTTCTCCTCACCCTACCACTCTTGGATCGTAATGTAAAAATCTTTTACCATGTCAAGAAATTATTAAAATGCAGGTACTTTGACTTCTTTTTAAAGTCACAGACCCTGGTGCGATGCTCTGGTGGTTGGGGACATGGAAGTACCATGGGCGTGTGCACTTAGACACACACCTCCACATACACCTCGGCCAACCTCCTTGAATGCCCTTATTCCAGAAGAGCCGCCTCTTTTCTTTGGAATAATGGAAATACTGAGGCTTCTGGCTACATGAGGCAAGGGTGGGGTCCTCTTTTTATCTTTAGTCTGAATTATGTGAAAGTTAGCTCTTCCTGAACCTAAGCTGCCGCTGATTGCCACCCTCACAAAACTCCAGCTCCTTTATTCCTCAGTGATACCCATAAACTGCCAGTAGAGGCTGCTATAGTTCCATATGTGGAAAGTGACCTGGTCCAAGGCTACCCAGTTTCTTACTTGCCATATACCAGTTCTCCCAACAATGAATAATGTCTTTGATTTTTTGAGGAGATGCTGGTTCTGATTTTAAGTCAAGTTGAGGGCTACCTAAGGCCCTAACTCCCTCTGAAATAAAATTTTTCTCAACTTCTACCTTGCAAGTAGCCTGGTTTCCAATGAGAACCTTACTGTCAGAGTAAGAATTTGAAGTTCTTGACCATGGGAAGAAGAACATCTCCATATTAGAGATCGTCAGTAGCTAATATTAACATCTATCCTGTGTCAGGCTCTACTCAGCCCCTTAGGTGTACAATTTTCACGATGCTATAAAATAATTTTTATTATCCCTTTTTTGTAGGTTAAGACACTGAGCATTCAGGATAAATAACTCTCACAAGCTCTTACCACTTAGGAAGCTAGAACGGGTTTAGAAGTCTGCCTGCTTATCCCAGGTCCTCAGATTGAGTCATCCTTGCTCATTGAGAAAAAAGTCCTGAAACCTCAGCTCAGAGGCTTGGCATTAAGCAGCAGGCAGAACGCAGTGCTAACTGGTAAACTGGGCAGTGGGTCCTGGAAATAATGAAATGTGCCAGCTGGAAGGTAGGAAAGTGGATAGAGTGCTGGCACGTGGCACACATGACTTAACGGGCATGCGAGCTTTGCATTCCTCCTCAGGCTTACCTTGGGTTGAAGATGTTTAGCTTTCATGGATGGCAGTCAGTAGTTGGTACTGACAAGAGTACTGTTAGCTCAGGGCAGAGAAGAAGGCTGTATACATGTGGAGTAACTCCTTGAGCCAAACCACAGGACAGAAACTTTGACACACAAATCAAGGTCAGAAATTTCCTGCCCGCCCATGGGGTGGAGTTTGCATTCCTGTCTATCCTAGGCAATATAAATCCTGATTTTATGTCAGTGACTGGAAGGAACATTCAGTAGGACACTGGTTTCAGCACTCAGCATCCACCATGAATCTCAAGGTAGTCCTTGTGTTCCTGGTACTGTCTCTTATTACCATCTTCACCCTAGTCTGTGTTCTGCTGACTAGCCAAGGAGTCTCCAGCCAGCTTCCTCGATGCCCTTCTGTACCCCTGAGTGCCCCACCCTGGACACAACCTGTCCAGAGCCAGCTGTTTGCAGACCTGAGCCGAGAGGAACTGACCGCTGTGATGAGCTTTCTGACCCAGAAACTGGGGTCTGGGCTGGTGGATGCAGCCCAGGCCTGGCCCTCAGACAACTGTGTCTTCTCAGTGGAACTGCAGCTCCCCTCCAAGGCAGCAGCCCTGGCCCACCTGAACGGGGTGGGCTCCCCACCTGCCCGAGAGGCCCTGGCCATCGTCTTATTTGGTGGACAAGCCCAGCCCAACGTGAGTGAGCTGGTGGTGGGGCCACTACCCCATCTGTCTTACGTGCGGGATGTGACTTTGGAGCGCCATGGGGGACCCGTGCCCTATCACCGGCGCCCTATGCTGGCAACTGAATATGCCCAGATATGGAGACATTTGAAGGAGGTCGAGTTTCTCAAGGCACCCATCTTCCTGGCTTCTGTCTTCAACTACAACGGCTCCACTTTGGCACCCTTGCATGCCACCCCCCGTGGTTTGCGTTCAGGCGATCGTGCTACCTGGATAGGTCTCTACCACAACATCTCAGGTGTTGGGCTTTTCCTTCACCCAGTGGGGCTGGAGCTCCTGCTGGACCACAGGGCCCTGGACCCTGCCCAGTGGGCTGTCCAGCAGGTCTTCTACCTTGGACACTATTATGCAGACTTGGGCCAGCTGGAACGGGAATTTAAGGCTGGCCGACTGGAAGTAGTTAAAGTTCCTCTGCCTTCACTAAGAGGTGCGTCCTCTCTGAGGTCTCGAGGCTCCCCAGGTCCTCTTCCCCCACTTCAGTTCTCACCCCAGGGCTCTCAGTACAGTGTCCAAGGGAACCTGGTAAAATCTTCCCTCTGGTCATTTGCCTTTGGCCATGGGGTGTACAGCGGCTTGAGGATTTTTGACATTCGGTTTAAGGGTGAGCGAGTGGCCTATGAAGTCAGTGTCCAAGAGTGTGTCTCTGTCTATGGTGGTGAGTCACCCAAGACTATGATGACCCGATACTTGGATAGCACTTACGGTCTTGGCCGTAACAGCAAGGGCTTGGTACGTGGATTGGACTGCCCCTATCAGGCCACAATGGTGGACACCCATGTTTTGATAGGTAAAGGGACAATCCAGTGGTTCCAAGGGGCTGTGTGTGTTTTTGAGGAGGTCCAGGGACTACCACTTCGAAGGCACCACAATTCACTTCAGAGTAATTTCTACGGTGGCCTGGCCAGCTCAGCCCTAGTTGTCAGGTCTGTGGCCTCGGTGGGCAACTACGACTACATTTGGGATTTTGTGTTACATCCAAATGGGGCCATTGAAGGGAGGGTCCATGCTACGGGTTATATCAACACAGAATTCCTGAGTGGGCAAGAGGACAACCTTCTCTTTGGGAACCGTGTTGGGGAGCAAGTGCTGGGGACATTGCACACCCATGCCTTCCACTTCAAGCTGGACCTGGACGTGGCAGGTGAGTGCTGAGGGGATGAAGAGTGAGATCTTCACTTGGGGGCAGGTGGACGGAAATCCCTTAGACCAAACCAAATAAGAGACAAGAAGGTGAGGTTCCATCCTTACCACGTCTGTGGCAATGAATAGTAGAGACCGATTACATTCCACAGCAGTTAGAATGGAATACTGGGCAGCTGGCAAAAGGCATAGAGTTCTGCCTGGCTCTGCTGGCCTGTGACAATTGTGAAATGAAATGAGTGGACCTTCTTACACCCCCCAGCCTGGGCCTGAGAGACACCTGTAGTGCAAGAAGTGTAGACATTAGGTGGGGCTGGAATTGGGGCTCAATTCTAAGGGTTAGCATGGTGACAGTGGAGTCTATCCAGTAGAGGTCTTTAGGGGAAGGGGGTTTCTGAGCTAGGGCTTGTTCCACAGAGTTAAAGACAACTGGTAACATGGGACAATGGCTCCTTCCTTGCCGAGGGCTGTCCCAGTCCTTCGCATGTGTCATCACAGTGGGCTCTGGTGGCTTGGAAGCTGCAGTAAACTTGGTGCAAGCATAGAAAAATGTCCCCATAATAAAGTGGGGTGGGGAGGGGGCTGTAATGGAAATGTGCAACAATAAATGAATGGAAATCCAAGTTCTCTGTAAACTTTAATTAAAATCTCAATAAGAAAAGTGTCTTAAGTACGGTTTGGAGCACCAAGAGGACTTCTTGCCATTGACAGATTCTGTAAAAGAGAATTAGTTTACCAAACCACACTTTAAACTTAGAACACTATACCAGACTCACTGTTTTCTAGTTTGAGGACACAAATTGGTGGGGATTGTGATGGGACAAGAACAAGGATGAGGATGAAGAAGAGCCAAAAGATGAAGTTACTGAAATAAGTTCTTTTTACTAGCTGTTTTGATTTATTTGGGTTGAGATTATTTTCCAATTTAAAATTTGTCTTAATCATATTTGGCATTAAAAAGTCAGTTTTGGGGAAGTAAAAAGTACCTATACTGTGGTCGTGTCTGCAGAGGGAGTTCTGGTGGCCCGTGATGAATTGCCCTGCTAACCAAAAGACTTTGAATTTACTAGTGCCTCCCTTGTGATTCACTGCCTTGGAAACAGGATTATAGAGTTGCAAACAGTGGCAGTGAGTTAGTGTCTGCAACACCACCTGATGTTGGGGGCTGGAAGCATGTGAAAAAGTGACCGTGGATCCGGGACTAGTTTTAACAGCACTTCCTGTGGCTCCACACTTAACTCTCTTAAAGGAGATGAAATTTGTTGATCTGTGCAAAGGAACAGTCATATGTGATCAAGTGCTGTGTGGGGTAGAACAGGTTAGAAATGCAAAGGAATTTCAGGGAGCTCGTGGTTTGAAAATTTTAATCTGTCTGCTGCTTGAAAAGACTGGATTTGGTCTAGCCTATTGGAAAGACAGCAAAGTCTCCCAGCTGGATAGGAGTACAGGGGCCTTGGGAGGAGAAAGCATTTTTCCAGCCAGCTCTTTAGAGATGAATATATCATTCCTTGCATAACTATAAGAATGTTAATGGTCACTTTGATGTGCTTTTTAATTTAGTACAACCTTATTTGTCACTTGTTGGCCATCACAGTATCTACCATTAAGGTAATTACTACTCATAGCAATCCCCCGGTTTCCAAGGCTGTAAATCTTTTTTATTTCTTACATAAAACAGCTATTTTATTAAAGTTTATTATCAACATGAACTGTAACACACTAAGTTCTTTTTTGTGTGGTATACTGACAAACAGAACTGAAAAAAAAACCAAGGAAAGATGATCTGGCTAGTAAGAGTTCTTACCAATAGGCATGTGGACAGACTAGTGAAAATACAAAACACAATAGTACAAATAGGTTTGTCTATGTTAGTCAAATGAACTAGAAACCAAATCTTATTACTGTGGAGTTGATTCTGACTCACAGAAGCCCTTCAGAACAGAGTAGAACTGTCCAAGGCTGTAAATCTTAACAGGAGGAAACCACCCACCTTTCTCCTAAGGAGCTGATGGGTTAGTTACTAGCCCAGTGTGACTTTTGAGTACGTGAAATGTGACTTCTGTAACCAGCTCCTCGCAAGGTGCTCTCTGATGAGTTGCTGTTTGTGGGTCAATGTATTGACGTCATGGGGAAAATGAAGGGCCTGCCCAAGTGACCTCACCTAGTGTGGAATTGCTCTTCTCCTTACCTGGCAGGGCTGAAAAACTGGGTGGTGGCAGAAGATGTGGTGTTTAAACCTGTGGCAGCTCCCTGGAGCCCAGAGTACCAGCTGCACCGCCCACAGCTGACCCGGAAGGTTCTGGAGAGGGAGGACCTGGCAGCATTCTCCTTGGGAAGTTTTCCCCGTTACCTGTACCTGGCCAGCAACCAGACTAATGCCTGGGGTCACCAGCGTGGTTACCGAATCCAGATCCACAGTCCTCCTGGTGTACATGTGCCCGTGGAGAGTGCCATGGAAAGGGCTCTCAGCTGGGGGAGGTGAGGAGGGTCAAGGGTGGTGACCCCCACCTCCATCCAGCTCCTGCAGACCCCATCTCACTATTCATCCCTATATTCCCCTTGGATTCAGGGAGATACGGGGTGAGAGATGTCACACAGAATCTGACCCAAAGGACAGCTGGGCTGTTAAAAGCCCTTGACATTTTCTGATGCTACCTTCCTCCAATAATTCCTGGTCAGATACCAGCTCGCAGTGACGCGGAGGAAGGAAGAAGAGTCACAGAGCAGCAGTGTCTATTACCAGAATGACATATGGACACCCACCATGGCCTTTGCTGACTTCATCAACAATGAAACCCTCTTAGGAGAGGTTGGTAGCCCTCGAAGCAGAGGAGCAGAGCTCCCCTGTGCCAAATATCTTGGCTGCTCAACCTCTGGCAGGAGGGAATAATCCTCTAATTCTCAAATTCAAAGGTCACAGTTCACTGATGACTAACACTGGTCATCCCTCCCTGGGGTAAGATTAGCCACGGGACATTTTTCACTCACTAGCTTCTCACATGGGTCACATGGGATATGGTGTAGACCCAGGCTGCTCTCTGCAGAGCCTTGTCAGCATGGACATAGTTGAGTCTTGAGATTCAGGGATTATAACTGGCATGGGGGTGGTTCTTTGGATTTTGCCTCCCAAGTCCTCTAGTTCCTTCCTCTTCCTGCAGGACCTGGTGGCTTGGGTCACAGCCAGCTTCCTGCACATTCCCCATGCTGAGGATATCCCCAACACAGTGACTCTGGGGAACAAGGTTGGCTTCTTGCTCCGACCCTATAATTTCTTTGATGAAGACCCTTCCATCTTCTCCCCTGGCAGCATCTACTTTGAGAATGGCCAGGATGCTGGGCACTGCAGTGTCAACCCCTTGGCCTGTGTCTCCCATCTGGCAACCTGTGTCCCAGACCTGCCCCCCTTTTCTTATCAAGACCTCTAACTGAGGATGTGGTGGGATGGGAGGGTTGGACGTAAGTACCTTCCTCTGTTTTCACGCCCTGTTCCCTGCATCTTTATCAATCCCGCTCCTCTGATACCCACTCTCTTACTATTTCTTAGGAAACAGCTTCTTCTCGGATATCCCCATATGTAACTTTGGTTCATTCTTATTTCCTGTTCATTTTTGAAAGTTTATGAACTTATAAAAATGATATTAAATGTTCAAACTAAAAATAGCACACATCCTCCCAGTCTGGAATACTTAATGTTCACTTTTGGGGTGTATTAGGCTAGAGTTAATTGTCATGCATGTATAAATGGAAGAATAGATAAAATTTTGTGAAAAAAGTAATATGCATTGTGAAATTTAAAATAAAATGTATTACAGGATTTTACTTGAATTTATTCAGTTTGACTTCATGAAAAGTTTCTAGCGTTTCTAAGAATGTTCAGGATTCTTGCCAAGGAAACTAGCAGAGGAGAAGAGGGAAAAAAGACAGACCTGGCCAAGGAATGTCATTTGGGAAGCTGAAAGGGTGGGAGTAGGGGTTTCCTTAGAGAAAGAACAATAATTTGCAGTTACAGGAAGGGGAACATCTGGTTTTGGAAAGGTGGGGGCTGGGGAAAGAAGCCAGGCTAAGGGGGGTGGGGGGAGATAGGGGTTGCTCTGTGGAGCATCAGTTCCTTGTTGGGGTTACGTTTCCACACTTGGGCTGCCCAGCCATGTTATCTTGAAAATTTCCTTCCCCAATCTTAGCACTCTCCTTCAACTCCCACTTCCAACCCTGACCCAGAGAACAGAGTCTGATTTGGAGCCTGGACGACAAAGCCATCCATGTAAGGTCTGTGGAAATCGCTGCTGCCCAGCTTCAGACCCGCCCCCTAACCATGGCCCGTCCCACTCCCCTCAGCTTTCCTTGCCATTTCCCAGCCTCCGTGCCTAACTCCCAGAAGCTCCCGCCCGCGTCCAGGAGCCCACTAGCATAGGAGCCAAGAGAGACCCTCTCCTGTGGGCCTGAGAACACGCATCTCTCCCTGGGTTCCATCCTCTGGTTGGACAATGAACCAGAAGGCGACTCTGGTGCTCCTCGCTCTGGCTGTCATCACCATCTTCGCCTTGGTTTGTGTGCTGTTAGCTGGTAGGGGCGGGGATGGGAGTGATAACAGTGGGCCTCTCCACTGCTCCTCTGAGTCCCCCAGTGCCCAGCCCTGGACACATTCTGTCCAGAGCCAGCTGTTTGCAGACCTGAGCCGAGAGGAACTGACTGCCGTGATGAGCTTTCTGACCCAGAAGCTGGGGCCTGGGCTGGTGGATGCAGCTCAAGCTCGACCCTCAGACAACTGTGTCTTCTCAGTGGAACTGCAGCTGCCCCCAAAGGCAACAGCCCTGGCCCACCTGGACAAGGGGAAACACCCACCACCCAGGGAGGCCCTCGCCATCATCTTGTTTGGTGCACAAACCCAGCCTAATGTGAGTGAGCTGGTGGTGGGCCCACTGCCTCACCCATCCTATGTGCGGGATGTGACTGTGCAGCGCTATGGGGGACCCCTGCCCTACCACCGACGGCCAGTACTGATGCAGGAGTACCAAGATATAAACAAGATGATCTACGAGAGAGAACTGCCCCAGGCCACTGGCCTCCTCCACCACTGTTGCTTCTATGAACACCAGGGAAGAAATCTGGTGACATTGACCACAACACCTCGTGGTCTGCAACCAGGAGACCGGGCCACTTGGTTTGGCCTCTACTACAACATCTCAGGGACTGGGATATATCTGCATCCTGTGGGCTTGGAGCTTCTGGTGGACCACAAGGCTCTGAACCCTGCTCACTGGACCATCCTGAAGGTGTTCTACCAAGGCCGCTACTATGATAGTCTGGCCCAGCTAGAAGACCAGTTTGAGATGGGCCTGGTGAATGTCGTGCTGGTCCCAAACAATGGCACAGGTGCCTTCTGGTCCCTCAAGCCCCAGATACGCCCAGGTCCAGCTCCTCCTCTGCAGTTTTACCCACAGGGCCCCCGCTTCAGTGTCCAGGGGAGCCAAGTGGTCTCTTCACTGTGGACTTTCTCCTTTGGCCTTGGAGTTTACAATGGCCCAAGGGTCTTTGACGTTCGCTTCAGGGGAGAACGGCTAGCTTATGAGATCAGCCTCCAAGAGGCCATAGCAATCTATGGTGGAAACACTCCAGCAGCGATGTTGACCCACTATTTGGATGGCACCTTTGGCATGGGCAAGTATGCCACACCCCTGACCCGTGGAGTGGACTGCCCCTACCTGGCCACCTACATGGACTGGCACTACCTTTTGGAATCCCAGACCCCCAAGACACTACGTGATGCCTTCTGTGTGTTTGAACAGAACCAGGGTCTCCCCCTTCGGCGACACCACTCGGAATACTACTCTAACTACTTTGGGGGCCTTGTAGAGACAGTCTTGATTGTCAGGTCTGTGTCTACCTTGCTCAACTACGACTATGTGTGGGATACAATCTTCTATCCGAATGGGGCTATCGAAGTCAAATTTCATGCCACAGGCTACATCAGCTCAGCATTCCTCTTTGGTGCAGGCAAGAGGTACGGGAACCAAGTTGGGGAGCACACCCTGGGCACTGTCCACACCCACACTGCCCACTACAAGGTGGATCTGGACATAGCAGGTAAGACATCCTGCAGACAGGGTGCCAGGAAGGTGAGCGAAGAGTCGCCTCCGCACAGGGAGGCTTGAGCGTGAGAATGTGTATGTATGCTTTTCCCTTTTCTCCGGATGGGAGAAAGTTGACTGCTGAGTTTTGTTTTGATCTTGGGTCACTGCCTGAGTGCAAGGCTGGCTGCCTGCCTCCTTCCACACGACCTCATTAGAAAATCTTGGGAAATAGCAGAGCTCGGGGAGGAGGCAGGATCTGGGCGAGCAGGGTCTCCTTTGCCCTCCTCCCTCCTTTCCACATTTGTGGGCTCCACCTCCAGGGAGTGGTGATTTGTTTTTTCAGTGTTCTGGCCTTTCCTCTGTGTCTGACCTGGGAGGCGGCTGGTCTTTTCATTGTGAGTCCCTGAAGAGGGGGTGCAAGTGATTAACACACTTGGCTGTAAACTGAGAAGGTGGCAGTCCAAGACCATCCTGAGGCCCCTCAGAAGAAAGCCTGGCAGTCTCCACCCAAAAAGCCTTGCAACTGCACAGCATGACTCAGTTAACCACGTCCCTGGCAGGCCAGCCAGTCACGGGACAACCATAGCTACACATTTCTAGAGCATGGACCCTCCTCCTCCTCCTCTTCTTCCTCCTCCCCCCACATACGGCCAGGTCCCCTCCTCCTCCTCCTCCTCTCTGACCATCTGGGCAAAAGACATTTCAGTTTGAGGGACTGAGGGGATAACAGAGAATATTTGGAATAGTTTCTGCAGCTGGTGCTCGTACAGCATTGGGGTTAGGAGCATCTTGGAGCCATCTTTGTCACTTTCCCTGCACTGAGTTCAGCACCGGATTCTTCTTCTATTCTGCCTCTGAAATGCCTCTATAAAGCTCTCCCTGGTTGCATTGCCAGCTCTCTTGCTTTGTGCCCTCCCTCTCTGCTTTGTCACCTCCTCTCCTCACCCTAGGGCTCTCGTCAGGCCACCTCGGTCCTTACGCAGTCCTTACACCTGCCCCATCAGCCCAGGATCCCATCTGCAGAATGACTGACAGAAACCTTCCCTTCACAGCTCAGCTCCGCCTGCCCTTCAGTTTCTTCTCCGCACTCTGCTTTAGCTGTACTCTGGATACCCCACAAGTTCAGTCAAGCTATGCCTCACTCCTTCCTAAAATGAAGATCCCCTTTGCTGCCCAGCCTGTATTCCTGTAATCTTAAAGTCACGGATGCATTGCCCGTGGATGTGGGAGAGGAAGGATAAGGTTTCCTCCCTTCTGTGTTCCCGGAGCTGAGTCTGGTCCTGCATGCTGGAAGGCCGAATGAATAGGATGGAATCCCTAAAGAACTCTTTGAATGTACCTGTCCATAGCTTTGGCTGAAGGGGTGGGGGTACCTTGGAGAGAGGGACAGGAAACAGGGAGCTCACTGTTCTGTGCTTCTCTTTGACCCCCTACTCTGAAGCTGGGCAGCATCCAGAGGGGCCAGGGCAGCTGCATGATCAGCCCTGTCCCCCCTCCCCACAGGACTGGAGAATTCGGTCTGGACTGAGGATATGGCCTATGTTCCTGCGGAGGTACCCTGGAGCCCCGAGTCCCAGGTGCAGAGGATGCAGGTGACCCGGAAAAAGCTGGAGACTGAGGAGCAGGCTGCCTTTCGCCAGGGAAAGCCGGCACCTCGCTACCTGTACCTGGCCAGCAAACACAACAATAAGTGGGGTCACCCGAGAGGCTACCGCATCCAGATAATCAGCTTTTCAGGGGAGCCACTGCCCCAGAACAGCTCCACCGAGGGAGCCTTCAGCTGGGGAAGGTGAGCAGAGCAGATAATCAGAGGGGGCTTGGGGAGGTGAGTGTGGGAAAGGACCTTAGGGAAGGAGACCTGGGAACTTTAACGCTATGCTGGGGTAAGATCCCAGGGAGATCCCCTTTGCTGCCCAGCCTGTTATTAAAAAATACCTCAGGGGGCTCTGGTGGCTTAGTGGTAAGGAATTACTCTGCCAGTGCGAAGGTACATGGTTTGAATCCATCAGCTGCTCTGCACGAGAAAGATGGGCAGTTTCCTCCCATGTGATTTGCTGCCTCTGAAGACTCACTGGTTCGGTTCCGACCTGACAGTACAAAATGACAACAAAAAGTATTCAAAAGGCCACATCTTGCCCTTGGAGGGCTGAGACCCAGGAGTGAGAACTATTATTTGGATGGGAGAGAGGGCCTTTTGTGAAAAAGCTGTTCATGATTAAACAAGCAAACCTTGGAAAGGTGTTGGCTGACCCCCTCAGCAGTTCTGCAGCATCCAGTCGCTGTGTGGATGAGATGGGGAAACTGAGATCTGCTCGCTCAGCCCCCTTCCATCACTACTGGGCAGTGGGCCGGGGTGAGTGAGCGTGGAGGCCTGACCGCTGCCTCTCTAGGTACCAGCTGGCTGTGACCCAGAGGAAGGAGGAGGAGCCCAGTAGCACCAGCGTCTACAATCAGAATGACCCTTGGACTCCAACCGTGGACTTCACAAACTTCATCAACAATGAGACCATTGATGACAAGGTCAGTTAGCGAGCAGGTGGAGGGGGCTGGGGGGATGATGATGAGCCCCACTTTCTCTTGAGAGTTCTTGTCGCTCATCTAAGCTGCTCAGGGATGAATCTGATAATGAGCCTTCCCAAGCTGAGAGCTCACATCCAGACACCAGATGAGGTCCCAGCCTTGTCCTCAGGCCCTGTACCCCAGCTTTGTGAAAGATGCCTGGCCAGGGACTGAACATATTTTCTGATCCAAACATTCATGAGGCTTAGGAATCGTCAGGGAAAATCATCACTTGTATTTGAAGCATCTCCCATTCTGGGCTCAACCATGGCCCTTTCTGCTTGGTGGCCTTTTCCTGCCTCCCAGCCCCTACTCTTCCCATCTGCATCTTCCTACCCTCGGTTAGTCTGAGAATTCCAGGGGAGTTAGGAGGAGAGGAGTTGAAGTGGCCTGTGTGCCATCCTGCCTGGGGGGTATCAGAGAGGGAGGGCAGGGAGGTAAGTATTGAGGCCACTATGAAATCAAGTAGTTGGGCTTCCACTTGTCAGCAAGTAGGAAACCATGCTTACAGACACAGGGTACTTTCCAGGGAGTGGACTAGTAAATGGAATGCTTGGGGGCATGCACCTGACCTTCTCTCTTCTCCCTAGGACTTGGTGGCCTGGGTGACAGCTGGCTTCTTGCATGTCCCACATGCTGAGGACATTCCCAACACAGTGACTGTGGGCAACGGTGTAGGCTTCTTCCTCCGACCTTACAACTTCTTTGATGAGGACCCCTCCTTCTACTCTGCAGACTCTATCTACTTCCAGGAAAACCAGGATGCAGAGGCCTGTGAGGTCAATCCGCTGGCTTGCCTCTCGCAGACGGCTGCCTGTGCCCCAGACCTCCCTGCCTTCTCTCATGCAGGCTTCTCACACAACTAGTGCTACTCTGGAATGGGACAGCTTCCTAGGAGCCCCTGGGCCAGGGTTTGAGGAGAAGGAGTGGCTGGGCATCTCAACTCCTCAGCTCTTTCCTCACCCCTCTAACATCCCCTCCTCAATATCCTCTCCCGTCCATCACCCTTTCCTGATGGAAGTGAACCAAGCCTGTGGTGAAGTCAGCTTTGTTGATCTCAGACATCAAGGGTTCCCATCGAGAGAGGAAAGGCTTGTCCATCTGGAGCCTGGAGGGATGACCAAATTTTTTTTCCCCACAAGACTTTTTTTTTCCCTTTTGCATTTTGGTTTTCCCACATCTTTTAAAGCCATCTTTGAGTTTCTCCTGGGTCTCCAATATCCTTCCCTTGGGAGATTAAGATGGAGACTCTGAAATGGGGCCGGCCCAGGAAACTGCGGGGCAGGATTCCTGCATCTCCACAGATGGGCCAAGAGGGCCTCTCTGCAAACGCCACATTCTCTTCCTCCTGTCCCTTCCCCTCTATCATGTCTCACTTCCTCCCCTTCCTCGTTCCACCTGCTCTCATGTCTTTGGATATCCCTCAAGTTCCTATGGTTCTTCTATCCTGACCTGCTGTACTCCACAGCCCTCACTTCTCAACTTCCATTTCTCCTCCAGCCCCTGGGCCTGGAAACCCCAGAGATGCTAGAGGATGTCTAGTTTGAAGGGATAATCCCTGTCTGTCCCCTGTGCCTGTCACTTAGTCCAGTAAGGGCTCATGTCCATCCATATCCTGGGCAAGACCTTGTACTCATTTGTATCTGTCTGGCTTGCCCTGGTGGTGGTTCAAATCCACCATCTGCTCTGGGGGAGAAAGATGTGGCAGTCAGCTTCTATAAAGAAACTCAGTTGGCAGTTGTAGGGAGCTCTGGTGGCCTAGTCCATAGGGAGATGTGCTGCTAACCCAGAGGCAGCACTTTCCTGGTGGTTCAAATCCACCACCAACTCCACAGGGGAAAGACGGCAATCTCCTTGCAATTTACAGTTTCTTTTTCTTTTTTAAAATTTATCTTTTGTTTTCTTTTAATATTTTTTTTTTTATTTTAAGTGAACAATTTACAGTTTCTTGAAAATCTGCTAGAGGGTCAGTTATGAGTTGATTTCAACTTAAGGCACTGATCTAGGCTGTTCTGCTCTGGCCTGTTAGGGTTGCTATGAGTACGAATGCACTCCAGGATAGCAAGTTTGGATTATGTGTGTGTGTGTCTTGTACTCTTTGAGGGGTCTCTGGTGGCATAGTCTGTAGGGAGTTGCACTGGTAACCCAAAGGCAGTGTCTCTCTGGCAGTTCAAAGCCACCGGCCTCTCTACAGGGGAAGATGGGAAGCCTCCTCCTGTGCTATTTACGGCTTCTGAAAACCCAGTGGAGGACCAGCTAAGAGCTGCTTCCACCTTAACTGCAGTGAGTTTTTTGAGTGAGTTGTACTCTTTGAAGAGGATGTTCATAGTGACAACAGTTAGCGTTTTAGATGGCTTTGTGGGCTGTCTGTGTCTAGTGGCCACTACCCTGCAGCAGCTTCTGTGGAAGAAGGAGGTGGACATTAGGTAGGAAGCAGAAAGCTCCTGGACCATGTAAGCACATATAGGCAGATGAGCCCTCGGCTCTGGTGGGGGTGGGACTGTTCTTTTGCGTGACCCAGCCTCCAGGGCTTCTATGGCTCCCAGGATGTGGACTTGGGAATGGCTACAAACAAACAACAAAAGATTGGGAACAACAGAATCCATCATCTTTCCATGGGGGATTGGTGGATAATTCTGAGACAGCCTTTAATGCAATGCTGTGCCACTATTAAAGAATGGTACCTATTTATATAGTGAAAATAAGAGGAAAGGAAAAAGGCAAGTTCAGTAATGGTTAGAGCACTTTCCATTTATATTTTGGACAGGAAGGGGATATAAATACATGTTTGCTTACATCTGCATATTCACAGGAAATGACTGCCTGGTTGCCTCTGGGGAGGGGAACATGTAGGCGAGGCGGGGCTTGCACTTTTGTACATTTTTAAATTTTTAATCATTTGACCATATTATATATTCAAAAATAAATAATAAATGGTTTCAAACAGGTGCTGACTTGTTCTTTAGGAGGGGATAGCGATGGGGCGAGGGATTCAGATATGGATTCAGAGACTGAATTTTCTCAAGATCTTGAGACTCAGAAAAGCAAGTGTGTCTGCCAAGAACTCCTTTGCCTCTTGTCGCTTGTCTTTCTGTCAGGGAAATACTGAACCTCTGTCTGTCCCTCTCATCGAGGAGGGAGCATGGAGGAGCAATAGGGAAGGAGCAGCTCATGGCTGCTGGAAGCCAGAGCAAGAGATGAAGCGCCGTAAACAGAGGATGCAGCTTGTCTTCTGATGAGAGAGAGATCATATTGCAGGAGCTTAGACACCTCTGATACTTCTGTTACCTGCAATTCTGCCCCAGCCTGTGTTCCATCCAAGGCCAATCGAACAGCAAGCAGATGGGGCAAGTGTGTGAATTGGAAAGAAACTAGATTCTAAAAAGCCAAGACCAAAGACTTCAGCAAAGAACATAGACTAGCCTGCGGTGGAAGCAAAAAGTTTACTTTTGGCTGCTAACCTAAAGACTGAGCGTTCAAATCCACCCTGTGGCACCATGGAAGAAAGGCCTAGGGATTTGCTTCTGTAAAGATAAGGGCCAAGAAAAGCCCATGGAACAGTTCTAGTTTGTAACACCTAGGGTTTGTCTTGAGTAGAAATTTACTCGATGACAATGGGTTTCAATTGTTTGTTGTGGTTGTTGTTGGTTTTTTTTTAAATTAAAAAAAAATCCTCCTAAGCTTTCAAGAAGAACACTGGTTGCATTTCCACATCAAAACACAGCTGGTTGCACAACACTTTTCTCACTAATCTGACCCTTTTAGGTATTGATTTACCTGGACTAACTCTCCCAGCTTTTCAAGTATCTCCCTGTCCTTCTGCACATAGCACCCTGCCTCAGACATATACCATACAAGGCTTCAAGCTCTTACCTCTGCTGCTCGCCCCCGCTGGGTCCCCACTTTGCTCCAAATATGCTTGGCTTTTGGCTGTGCCTGCCCAGGCCAGGCTGTCTCAAGTTTCCATACCTTTTTTATTTTTTTCAGTTCCTTTATTCAACAGTTATAAAATTTTAGTTTCATTTTTAAAATTGGTTCATAGACAGTCATTGACATACATTGTTTCATTCACATAGACTATTTTGTGCAATCGTTCCTATACACTGGAGGTTTTAAAAACATTATTAATTACTATCGATGGATGAAGCTCCAACACCTTTGCACCTCCGTCCCCTTTGACTGCAGTGTCCTTTCTCTTTTCTGCTAGCCTTATGCATTCTGTCTCCAAGGAAGACTCAAAGCTCTCTTGCTGGGCAAGGAAGTCTTCCCACACACATCTGGACTCATGAGAGAGGCATGTCCCCTCCCTGGAACCTCACTATCTCCAAGTACCCCATGACACCTGGCTCACCAGGTCACAGTGGCTTCCCACCACTGTCACAGGAGTTGCTGAGTCATGACTGTGAGAAATGGAGGTAGCTTTGCTCTCTGCCTCAGCAACAACCTGGATGAGGGTCTTCCAGAGGTGAGACTTGTGGGGTTGGTTGTTTACTCCTATAGTCAGTCTCCTAGCCCACCTGACCGACCCCTGGCCTGGCCCATGGTTCATGCTTACGAGAGGGCTGTGAGAGTCTCAGTTACACCTGGCCCCACTGTGGCTGAAATGAAATGGTTTCTGATTGGCTCGATGACCTGCATCCCCCTTCCACATGATGCAGGGGCCCTGGGACCGCCCCAGTCTGATCTGACTCAGCCCTCCAATCCCCTAGCCCTCCAAAGGTGATTTTTATTCTCTTACTTCTCAAGCTTTCCTTAGCGTTTCTGGTAGGATTCTGGTTGCTGGAGGCAGTGGTGGGGAACAGCACCTGGAGGGGTGTCAAGACAGAAGAAGGAGAGAGGATGGCTTAGGTATGTGAGCAACTGGGTTTCAGCTTGCAGACTTGCATCCAGGAAAAGGGGCCTTGGAGGACAAAGAGCCCAAGGACAGTCCTTTTCTACCCCTATCGCCTCTTCCTTCCTCTTGCTTGTACCAGCTGTGCTGTTTCCAAACCCAGTCCTCCCCTACCATTCCCCAACCCTGACCCAGACCGTATTGTTTGGTTCGGACAGGAGGGCAGCGCCTTACATGGGCCACATAGAGTTCAAGTTCCTATCTCAGCTCCACATCTTTAGTCATGTCTCATCCCTGATCCCCTCCCATCCTTACCCTCTCCTCTGGCCTTAGCCTCTTGTCCTCACCACTACCCATCAGGAGACAAGGACTCTCCAGCAGACTCACGCACTGCCTGATCCTGTGCCATCCTCACATTCTCTGCTGAGTTTAAGTCCCTGGTTGCAGTCACTGTGTCAACCCATCTCTTTTCCCCCCATAACCCTCTATTTTACCAAACAAGATCTCTTTCTCCAGGGACTGGTCCCTCCAAAAGCAGACCCAAATGAAAACCCAAAATCTCTGTAAATGTTCATTAAAACTAATAAAATTTAATTTAAAAAAACCCACAAAAACCAAAAGCAGACCCAAAGTATGAGAGATGGGATTTCAGCTCAGCTCCTTGCCACGAGGCCTCCAGAACTCTACACAAAGTATGTGAGATGAAGACTCCCTGTCCTTGCTCCGCAGGAACATTCTGATTGTACTTCTTCCTTCCAAGACAGATGTTTGTTCTTTACAGTCAATATTTTTCACCAATACCACAATACCAAGGCATCAGTTCTTTTTTGTCTTCCTTATAGACTATCCAACTCTCACATGCATTTGTGGGGATTGAAAATGCCTTGGTTTGGGTCAGACACACCTTAGGCCCCAAAGTGATATCCTTGCTCTTTAGCACTTTAAAAGAGGCCCTTGGCAGCAGATTTCCCAAGGTAACACATCACTTCATTTCCTAACTGCCACTTCCATGGGTGACATAATGCATTACATGTT